CTATGACGCACCCTTGCTTCTAAAACCAATACGTTCAGAAAGAAGAAATATCCAATCGTGTTTTCATGTTCATTTAATGGATAAAATAATGGATTTTATGAAAATATTAACAATGCCCTGGAACAATAGGGTATTCTCAAGGTCACACATATGGTGAATTACGGCCAAGCTGTTACCCAGGTAGCGCATAACATTGATTCAACGTTGATTTCGAGTGGATCGGATGCATCACTGTTGAACGTTTATACTTCCATGTTGAATAAATATTGATTCAACACATCGACTGTCACCGTTTAAAACCTTTCTGAACTACGGCACAAGTCAAGTGACTTCTCAAAATAACAGTCTGACCTTATGTGATTCAACGTTAATTGCTGCCGTAGGAAGTTCTTTTTTATTGGACCTTTCCACTTTGAGATATCCTATATTTTAATTCGAAGATGTCAAAAGCTGCGGTGGTGGTGGTCGTGCCCGTGGCTGTTACCCCCAACGCGCAGGCCTACAATGCAATCCACTTCTGGATCATAGGCCAGTCCATCTGCGGCCTAAAGCGCCAGGCTTCCAAGGCTACGTCTTTCCAGTCCACATTATACTTTGATTGGAAAAGCCCGAGAACTGTGGTGATGGTAGTTGTCACCCCAGCGCGCGAGGCCTACGATGCAATCCCAATCTAGATCATATGCCAGGCCATCCATGGCCTAAAGCGTAAGGCCTACAAGGCTACACCTTTTCAGGCCATCTTCTAATATATATAGACGATCGTGACTGACTGACTGACGCTAATTCTAACCATGTTCCAGAAGAGTTAGAAACCTGAAACTTGGTACACATGTACCTTTCGGGGTGCAGAGTTCAGAAAAAATCCGACTTTGGAGGTTCATGCCCTGGGGGTACAAATTTTGGGGGAGGAAGTTTTTAGTAAATATATATCGTGATGGATAAGGATGTCATCGAAAGCAACCAAAGTGTGTTTCCGTTTCGGTGGTGTAGTAGTAGAACATCGGACCGATAATCATGCGACCAGGGTTCAATTCCCCGCCATTACTTGCCTTTTTTTGGCTTCTCTTGCCTTCCATGTCCCGTTGGACATGGAAAGCGTAAACGTGTCATGGACGTGCATACCGACACGATGAGATAAGGAAAAATACAAAATTTTGTATCCATCCCCTGTGGGCATGGATCCAGCAAAACGGAGGGTGCAGGAAAGTTTAAACTTGGTAAAGAAATAGCTGAGTAAAGAAACAATTCTACTTTCATATTATATATAGACGATCGTGACTGACTGATATAAGTAGCTATTCACATGCTGAGTTCAGGAAAAATTCCACTTGAGTGATACACGCCATAGTGGCACACCTTTCGTGTCATGGACGTGCATACCGACACGATGAGATAAGGAAAAATACAAAATTTTGTATCCATCCCCTGTGGGCATGGATCCAGCAAAACGGAGGGTGCAGGAAAGTTTAAACTTGGTAAAGAAATAGCTGAGTAAAGAAACAATTCTACTTTCACATTATATATAGACGATCGTGACTGACTGATATAAGTAGCTATTCACATGCTGAGTTCAGGAAAAATTCCACTTGAGTGATACACGCCATAGTGGCACACCTTTTCGGGGAACATATTAAAAAAAAAATAGTTCTCTTTGCTTTAAACAAACGGAGACCCATGGAAAACTGTAACATGGCAAGAACGTGACTGGTGAAGCATTCAGCTCAAATGTCAAATTTCCAAAATATTTTCAGAGGGCATATTTCTTGGGGACGTAACGTTTTCAAAGAATTTTTCATATCCTAGCGAATCGGGCAGAAATGGAAAAACAGCAGCTGTCGCACGCATAACGGACGTTATGTTAATTTAAGAAAAAATTCAACTTTTGCTGAGCGTTTCCCCAGAGCACAGCTTTTGGATGTCATTCAGTTCAAATGTCAAATTTCCAAAATATTTTTTGAGGGCATATTTTTTGGGGACGTAACGTTTTCAAAGAATTTTTAATATCCTAGCGAATCGGTCAGAAATTGAAAAATAGCAGCTGTCGCACGCATAACGGACGTGATGTTGATTTAATAAAAAATTCTACTTTTGCTGAGCGTTTCCCCAGAGCACAGCTTTTGGATGGGTTGCTTTTCCAAATATATTTATTATCGTCAGCAAAAAGGGGAAACATATAAGGCTGAAACTGGGTGGCATGGAGTTCCCTGAGTCTACATTTCAAAATAATAATAAAATTCGTTAACACCATTAGTGCCCTTTTTTCAGTCCCATATTCCTGATTTTTTTTTGATCCAACGAAACAGAGGCAGGAAATTTAAACTTCCCTCAGAAGTACCTGTTTGATGGCTGAGTAGAGGAGAAATCCTGATTTGGAAATATGTCCTTAGCGTAGATTATTGGAGGGAAGTTTTTCAAAATGTATTCTCCACCCTTACAAAAAGCTTAGCTTATCTTAGAATCGGGCAGAAATAGAGAAATAGCAGCTAGCGCAAGCATAACTAACGTGATGTTGACTTAAGGCAAAATTCAAATTTTGCTAAGCGTCTCCCCGGACCACAGCTTTTGGGTGTGTTGCTTTTCCAAACATTTCTTACCGCCAGCAAAAAGGGGAAACGTATAAGGCTGAAACTGCGTGGCATGGAGTTTCCTGAGTCTATATTTCTGAATAAAAATAAACTTCCAAAATATTTGTGGGGTTCATATTTCGTGGGGATGCAACGATTCCAAAGAATTTTTCATATCCTACCGAATCGGGCAGAAATAGAAAGTACTTGGCGCACGCATAACAGCCGTGATGTTGATTTCAACTATTGTTGTGCGTCTCCTCAGAGCGCAGCTTTTCGGTGGGCCGCTTTTCCAAAAATATTTTTTCTGCCAAAAAAAAAGGGAAACGTATAAGGCTGAATTTTGGTGGCATGGAGTTCCATGAGTCTACATTTCAGGAAAAAAAATTTCGTTAAAACCGATCAGGGCATTTTTCAGTCCCATTTCCTGAATTTGTTTTTGATGCAACGAAACAGAAACAAAAAATTATACATCCCTCAGAAGTGCCTGCTTGATGGCTGAGTAGAGGAAAAATCCTACTTTTGAAATATGTCCCCTTAGGGGAGTATTTCAAAATGTATTCTCCACCCTTACAAAAAGGGAAACAAGAAAATATTTCAAGTTAGGCACAATAGAAATCATAAGTAAAGATTTTGATAAGAATTAAGGCTTTTGTCCCCATATATCACGTATTTCAATGGGGACGTACTTGAAATACGTGTTTGCCATTTCGCAAGGAATAAATGAATTAATCACTATCCAAGCAAGGGAGCGCCGAAGGCGCAACCATAGCGAGATTGTTTGCCCGAAGGGCAAACAAACTCGCTAGTAGGATATAGGCTCCACAAAGATTTTCTCGAGGGAGTTGTGACACGGATTTTGGGAATTCCAAACTTAATTTCAAGTGCAGTGCATTCAGAGCCGAATCAATCAGGTATGTTCAGAATGGTATTCCAAGACAGGGCAAAAACTGCAACGTTGGCAAATGGAAGCTCCACAATACTATATTGAATTAAGGTGACATTCTTCTTCGTTATAGGTAAACGAATAAACACTACTTTCAGAGGATCTGATCCAAGTGTTCCACAAAAACACCCATGAGAAAGATGAGCGTTTTTACGTAGGGGCATTATTCATTCCTAGAGCATTGTTAACGATTTTAATGTTATCCGGGCCCCCACGGTGCAAGCATGTCCTATCAATGTACGCACGTAAGGATACCCTTGAATACCTACAGGATAAACACTGTTCCGACACTCCATTTGCGCGATATGCAGAAGGCGGTCCCAGTTTTATTTGACCATTTTCAAAATGCTTAAATGGGGAAAGACTAAATACTGTACATTTCATGCGACATCTGATTGTTGGGCAATGTGTCAACTTATTCTTATGGGAAATAGGGGGATATTGCGTTGGCGAGGCCTATTGGCTGGGTCGCGGAGATGCGTGGAAAGTGTCTTTCCGTGAAATATAATTCACACAAAAGATAATTCGTATGTGTTTCTTGAAAGCATGGCAAGTTTCCAAGGGGACACTTCAATATCATGTACAATGAGAAGAGGCGAGGAACAAAGAAAGGGGTGAATTTCAGGCATACAAACTGTCGCAAGACCGTTACATAGCAAGAAGCTTGTCTAATACTATTCATTTGACAGACTTGGAAATTCGACTCCCTTGAGATTACTTGCCTGTCGACTGCCGATGTCCCAGGGAACTATCAGCAGCGTCAGTGAGGATCACAAACTGTAAGGAAGACTAGATTAAAGTCAATATCCCAAGATTGTTATACCATTCAGTGATATCTGTGGTATCTTCAAGAAAATAAGCGAAAATAACTTCTTTCGAATCATAAAATCAAGGTTACCATGACATTTCCAGCTGGTTCCACGACTTTGAGCTGAAAGTTGAGACTACCAGTTAACTTTTTTTCAATAACCTTTCAGTATTCATCAGTGAACTTTCTCCTGTAAACTTTTTTGCATCCACCCTCGTACTTGCCACTTTTTTGTGGGAATGAAGTTCCAATGTGTCGGAATACGACGCACGTGCTACTTTGTTTTAGCCCCCCCCCCCAAAAAAAAGGAAGAGTTTTCAAAGAGGAATATATGAAACGATTGGGAACGTGTAGATGAATGTTATCATTCAATTTAAAAAATTTTTCCATTAAAGGCGGAATAGAAACGAAACATAGTCTTGAAGTAAAATATTATGTCCAGAATATCAACAAAATATTTAATACATAACTCAAAGGAAGTGGGTGTTGTACTTAATTTTAATCAATTCATTGTAGAACCTGGCTTTATCGTTGCGTCAATGTTCTCTTTGTTCTTTTTAATTTCCGTTTCTTCCGTTCTTTTTGCTTCTCAATGTTTCTCTGTTCTTGCAATATTCAAAAACCTTTTGTCTTTCGTAATATATCTTCCAGTCAACGAGCAAATAAGGTATTTATGTTCCGTCTACGATCCCTCAACTGACATGGTTTTTTCTTCATCCACGGCCTTCTTCGATTTTAACTCTGCTGCAATCTTGGAATCCAGTGCTTCAATCCAGAATCGTGTTACATTGTTCGCCCTTGAGACAAGCCCATTCAAGCGGTTTTCGAGGCCCACCTCCTTCACATCTGTGTCGGACTCAACTAGGGATTTGTGACATTCCTTCATCACAGCTTCCCACTTCTCCGCTGCGTCGCGCCAAGCAGCCGCCGCATCCTCGAAAAAAAGTGCCACAGCCTTCGCAGCCACTGATTCAGTTCGCATCGCTTCCGTTCGCCAATAAACCGCTCTCTCCGTCTCTATCCTGAATGTTTCGTCTGCCTCTGTTTTATTGGTCGATGCATCCCCTACGCATACTTGCCACTTTTCCAACAGTTTTTCCATTTCCCTTATTAGGTTTTTATTATTAGAGACATCTGAATCTGCATAATTGGTTTGTTGTGACAAATTTGAAGCTGCCTCAATTGTTGCTGCAATGTCTTTCTTTGTTTCTGCTTCTGCGTCATCCTCTTTCCCCTGCACCACGATTTCCTCCTCCTTTTTGTTCGGTGACTGAGACTCGCCTCCTGTCTCAATCACACTTCGCCCCAAAATTTCCTCGTTTCCGGGCGGTGTCAAAGTCGATAACTCCTGATTATCCAAGTGCGATTCAGTTATTTTCCACTGATCAGGATGAATTGCTTCATTTTTTGATGACTGGGGAATCTTCTCTTCTTGGCTTGTATTGACATCATTATCTGCTGTTGTTTGACTGCCTCTGTATATTTGAAGTAGGGGTGCGCCAAGAACGAAGACGATAATTAGCAACACGACTGCAATAGCACAGAAACTCCATTTGAGTTTCCGGTTTTTCGCATGAATTTTATCATCCTCGTTAAAGGACGATTGCAGATAACCTCCTAATTCCAGAGTGACGTGCTGCAGTCCTTTTTTCGTAGGGTTGAACCTACGTCTACTATCACTCTGTGAGATGTTCCAACTGTTTTCCAATGTTTCATCTGCTTGTGGCACCGTTTCCCAGTTCTTAGGAGCTACTGGCCGATAACCTGTAAATAATAATCATAAATCAGGAGGGATATAAAATGAGAGATTGAAGTACATGAACTGCATATGATTGAACCCATTACAATCGATTATACTTTTTTGGCAAAACATACAAAACAAACTTACGCCTCTACTCTCTTACCAAGTCCAACTCCAACAAATAGACTTCATCAGGAGTCAGGAAAGTAAATGAAGCACACAAGCGACAGACAAGTGCAATCGACAGAGACCCACGAATACGGAATATGAATCTCAGAGACCGCTTCACAACGAGACCCCTGAAGCTCGTATACAAAAGAGGGAACCCGAAGAGTATCGATGACGAAAGGACCATGCCAAAAATTCAGTGGTACTGTATCCAGTCGTATCCACTGACGACGTGGGTGTTCTTTCATGGATCCGCAACTTTAACGCAATTTAAAATACTGATTTTCCATTTATTCAATTTCATCCGATTGTCATTTTCCTTTTCTAGATCAATTCTAGATTCATGGAAAATATGGAATGCTACGTTATTGGTAAACTGCCGGTCAGTGCATCCGTCAAAACGTCAAAAACGAAGTAACATTAAGGTCGAAATTACCTAATATTGAAGGATAAATTAATGAAGTTCTTTCAGAGGAAGATCGAAGAGGAATCAGAAAGGAATGATGAAGGAATCACCAGTGCCAAGAACGTCACTTTCATAATATTGAGAGTGTTATTTCCGTATTTTTAAAATGCCATAGATTTTTAAATAGATATGGTTGCATTACTTCGGGACGTTTCTAACTTCGTGGGTTGCATAAATAGGGGAAGAGGACTTGATAATTTGCGATATTATTGAGAACCACTGCCATACCACGGAAATATGCACAACTTAACTGGGCTTATTTTTGGATCATAAATATTTAAATGAATGGAGAAACTTTAACATAAACCCAATTGATAGAATGAATTTGTGCTGCTCTTGTCCTTGTGAGAAAGTCAGTTTTCACAAGGGTGCATGGGAAACAGGTTTTCGTTTGATAGTAACCAAGAAAAGCGGAAGCATGAAGCCTATCCCCTTCTAATATTCGCAGAAATATTCTTTGTGAAATAGGCACTTCAGTAATTAACATATTCAAGCAGTTAAACAGGTTAGTTTGCAACACAGGTTAATTCCTAAAAATTTCATTAGGCAATCCTACTGGAAACTGTGAACCCGGATTCCACTTGGCGAAAGGAAGATACCTTCTAAGGCAATTTGACATCACTAAAAATTGGGGATTCCTGATCTGCTGCCCCAGCATAATTCTCATGAATAAAAATGGTAATGTAGTGACTTAAATACCCCTCGATTGCAAACTAAGGTCACTTCTCATCGTGTGTAGCTATTTTAGACAATACCACACTACTTCTGCTAAAGATAAATCCTCTCCTTGTTATAACATAAAGACAGCGTATGGTAGGATGTCATATGAATAAGCTGGAATAATCGCAGCTTTGGTTTCGACGTAACATTCACTACGGTATTGCAATGAAGTAAAACCGCGATCATAAATTCAAAGAAGCTGATAGGAGAACAGTTTATTTCGAAATAAAAAATGTTTGCCACCAATAAGATATTCATATTTGATGAATGTTGATCAAATTTCCTCAGAGAAACCTCATGATGGTGGAATAAAACAGAGGTCCTCTCTTATCTCGTTTCCCTCTACAGTGCCGAACTCCATCACTCATATCCAGATAGGCAGAGTCAATAATGTAAAATCCAGGAAGATAAAATTAAAAGGTATGGGAGCTACGACCGAGGGAGGAATAATGATAGAGGGTTATTTGTAGCTCATCATCGAATGCGACTCGAGATTCTAGACGCTTCTTCCCTTCCCTCACTCGGATACGCACTGATATTGAAATATTATATTATTTTAATTCACTCATCCAAACATTGTAATTGCTTAATTTTTGCGGCATGAATATTTGAAGCTCGTGGTTAACTTATCATTCCGTCAAACGTTAATAATTTCCATATGGGCGCTTCTTTTATGAGAATTTTCATATTAGATTTTAACAACCTTTACAGCAATGTTGGTTTCCAATCAGGAAACAAACTGATGCATACCATTTATGCCCCATGAAGGAAGAAAGTCCCGTTTTTAAGGCATTCAACATCCATTCTCGATTATTCCTGCTTTCAGGCCTTGAAGCAAGGCTTGAAGAAAGTCAGATGTTCAGCTAAGCAGGTGCACTTAATCCATAGCCATCTCTAGCTAGAAAAATTTAGTTTGAATACTTACCCGTTGAAATCCCATCCATGACTGCGTTCGTCCACAAGTTCTTGGTGTAGATAAGAATTGTCGTCCCAAACTAAATTAAAATGTTATTAGGCGGACGGCCATGAGGTCTAATTTTTATGTGAGAACACAACCTGAAAATTAAGATATGTACAGGGTGACCCATTTAAGTATAGAATATATACGGTTTCGTTTGACTATAGCTTTGGAAAATTCTTACCAACTGTAATAATATTTTAACAAAAAATAGTGTTGATGTTAAAATAGAATTTGCACAATTTCTTTTAATTTCTTCAGCAAAGTTTTTGAGAAATTCAATTTGTACCGTAACTCGAAACTTTTGCATAGGCCCTCTGATTCCTCATCTAATTCAGAGTTTTGGGAAATATTGATTTTTCATTGTGACTTGTATATTGTGCATTTGTGCATGTCATTGGTGCTATTTATTAAGCCCTATGTCTAAATTTGCCGATTTTTCGTTTTCCGATGTCATTTTCTGTGAATGAAGGGGCAAAGGTTGCTCCTTAGTGCAAATGGGGTTTGCAGGACATTAACAAGCCACTTGTTAGTGCCCTACTCCTTATTGGTTGACATATAATTTCGTGCAAAACTTGCTATAGAAGTATACGATTGAGGTTCTCGGCGTTTTAGGAAATTTGGACTCGGGAACGAAATTCAATTCAAGGAATTAAACTCACGCCAAAAGTAGAAGACTCGCGGAAGCGATTAGCGGCAAAAGACAGGAGTTCAATGTGTGAAAGTCAAATATAATTTCATAACCCGGTGAACTATTACGAGTACGTTCAATCGCCTTGAGAACCAAATCATGATATAAAATATAAATTCTCCAAGACTTTATATTAGAATTCGATGGAAAACCAGCGTGTGTGTTCAAGTTACGATAAAAATTGCATTTCTCAAAAACATTGAAGCAGAATTCAATTAAAATTAGCTAAATAAAATTAAAATGTCAGCACTACCTTCTGTTAAAATACTATTAAAATTGGCTGACGTTAACATGAGCTACAACTAAACAAATCTGTATCTACATAAATGGGCCACCCAATACTGTATAATGACTAGAGAAGTATTTCTTGCATCCAGAAATGCATATTGTATGCATGAATCTCGAGCTTCCGCGAGAGAAAGTCAACAAAATGTAAATGCAACACATTTATTTTTCTACGTTTTTGGCCGGTATGGTCTTGGTCTAACCAATTATGCACTAGAAGTGTTTCGCTGTCATGACGTATGCACCGCATACGTCATGACAGAGAAATACCATAAGGCAAAATTTCCATGGATACACATACTACATCCAGTTGAATACGTTATTGGTCGTGTGCCTCCCACATCCTATACCAGATATCCAGAAATACTTAGAACCGAAGAATTAGTGCAAGGGCAATATATAGAATCCACAATATCTTATTATGAAATTAAATGCTCTTCCCGGTCTCACTCCATCACGTCACTGGCGAGGTGAGGAAAATAAATCCAATTCAAGTTCACAAGAATGTGCGTTGAACGAAGACGGTCATCACTCGCTAACAGCCCGAAGCCTCCAATCTTTCGTGGATTAGCTTCGTTCAGATATGATATCTTTATTACTTGCCGCCATAATATCTGGCTTTTGACGGTAAAAAAGCATGTCAAAGCTCATGTTGAGGCTCCGTTTCCCGTTGAAAGCAAATTTGGGAGCTGGCTATGCTTTTTTGAGGCACGTAGTCGCTCATTCCATCCAGCCATCCATCCATCCATCTTCAACGCCCGCTATTCCTTTCGGGATGTCCAGGAGCTCCAGGAGATTCAGATATGTCAAAGCGAGAAAAATTTTTTGTCAAACTCTTCCCTGCTTTACTTTGAAACTACCAAATATTCTACTAAATATTACAAATTCGGTATGAGATCATAAATTGCAGCAATAACTTGACCAAATGTTTTTCAATTTAGAAAACACAGTATCATAAATTTTTTGTTGGAAAGCGTTTCACCTTCATCAGCCACTGTTTTCAGAATGAATCCTTCATTGAAACATCAGCCTAACTCTTACAGACGGTGAATGATCTTATAAGTAGAAGTGGCTCGCAAGGTCTTAGCAACCCCCCCTCCCGGGTGCATGGAGGAAGAGAACCAAATTCTTTTCTGAATAAAATGACCATCCTAGGAAAAGATCCGTCAAGAAAATCAAAAGAATTTGTCATCGAAATGCCGACGTTATCACTGCTGCCCCTTCTCTCAAGGAAAATATATATGACGCATCAAGCATTTGTTTTCAAGTACTTAGCAAAGGACCCTCTACCTACTGAGATTTGACAACTCAACTCACTCCTTGGCAACTGACACAACTGTCCTTCCTTATCTCGCAGACAAGGTCCTCTGGTTTTTCACATATACAATAACCCTTAGCTCGTGAAGAGGCTAAGGTTCCTGACGCAAATGACCTCTACCTGTCTTACTAAATGGGAATTCAGGCGGAAACCTATTACCCAGAAGGCATCAATGAGAATGAATCGTATGGAGAAAGTACCTCAGTAGTAACTCCTGAGCACACTTTTCATAGGTTCCTAGCTTTAATGCCACAGGCCAACACATCGCCTTTTTCTTAGTAATGAAAAACTGCTTCTTTGATGACGTAAGGGAGAGGTCTGGGACAATATGAAGAAAAACAGACATGGAAAATATCTTTCTTCTGTCTCATTCATCATGGGAACGGAGATGTTTTTAAGCATCCACTCTTCTTCCAGAACACACTTATGTTACTACTGTGGCTTCTTTGTATGTGAAACTTTAGGCATTTTGAAGCTATACACTGTTAACATACCCATTTTCCCCCTAGTATAATTATAATTAATCAAATTCTGTTGAGAAAATAGTCCAGACAGATATTTTGGCTTGACGATAGGAATCCTAGTCTTCTGGACAGTAACTCCCTGATAGAAATTGTTCAAGTATCTGGCAGAAATGACAAAAAAGCCTTCTGAAGTTGAATCTTCGACGGTAAATCCACAAGTCATTGTTAGAAATTGATGGAAAGTTTCAAAAAGCCAATCTTGAACCATAGCAATCTAGACCTTAATAATTGTCCATAGTTGAGAACTATGTCTTAATATTGAATTTTAAACCTTTTCAGAAGACAATACCGTTTATGCAATCTCTCGGAAAGCAGACAATTACTTTGGAACTGTCTATCTTTTCATCAAAATTCACTTTAATGGGTAAAATAAGGATTCAAAACTGGAGATGAAAACTATATTAATGGACAGTTAATGAACGCTTGATAGATATCCCTGGCATTCCCTATGCTCCTGAAAACAGGTCAATTGGATTCCCACAGGATTTTATGTTCCAAAAAGCTCCAAAACGACCAGCTCAAGCAACAGCAGACAAGTGTGAAATGGGTGTGTGGCTGTCTTCCGTCGGCCTGGCTGGGAAGTTTTACCCCATCCATCGTATTCTTAGGACTTGGCCCCTTCCGACTATCACTTGTTCCGGGCCCTCAAGAATGACTTGCGGGACAAGGCCTTCGACGATCGAGCACGGCTCGAAAATGATGTCGGCCGTTTCTTCGCTTCACAATCGCCAGAGTTCTGGGCAAAGGACATCGAGCAGTTACCCGTGCATTGGGAACATGTCATAGACAACAATGGTCTTGACATTGCAGACTGAAATTGCATTTCAATAATGTTATAAATTTAAAAAAAAATTGCGCAGTGTTGCAAGACTTTCTTTCCAACCCAATACTTTCGAACCATTGTGTACCCCATAATTTGGATATCCTTTGACTTTGAGGAAGTGGTTCACACTAAGTGAGAACCCTAAATCCAGAGATTCGTACAGATGATCTTTTCAGATCCATAAAATCTTGGTCGGATTGGCTCACGGGGATACCAGTAAATTTATATAGGGTCCCCATACTGATATTCAAATTTTATAAAACTATAAATGCGGTTTATTATAGTCTAAACATGCGCTATGTAGTTACTGTATATCAAAATGGAATGATGTGTCTCTTAATTCATCCCTGAATTTTTCTCACATGTATTCATGGGTGGGAAGGAGAGGGATGCGAAACCACTCTGTCTTAGTAATATAATGCTATCTGCCACTCTGTCTAGTAAAGAATGTCCGCACAATTATACATATTTTCGAAAGGGGGTGGCAGCTCGAAAATGGTGGAGAAATGTTGTTTCAGCGCAAATACAGCAGGACGTTTCATTGCATCGCCTCCTTTTCGTGAAGGGGTTCATGAAAGGATTCGCCTTTCCTACTGTATGCTATATAAAAAAGAAGGAAAAATATTAATTCGTGGGACCATATAGTGGGAAAATGATTCCATACATACCTACAAAGAAAACAAATTTAATTCTTAAAAGCATTTGCAAGTCACTTCAACATCATTATAAAGTTCAATGTAAATGGCTTTTATGCCTCTGTTCAACCTCCCAATACATGCAAAGGCTCTTTTATTTTCATTTTGTTCTTGGTTTTTACGTTTTTCATTACCTACTAGTTATTTATCATTTTTCAATGTTGAGGCAATATTGAGACCTGATTTATTGATCTTTGCTTTTTCTTGTCAATGTGCAAATCTGCAATCACATCACCTGAGATCATTTTCTCCTCCTTCACTGCCTTACTTGACTTTTCCTTTGCCTCACTTGTGGCGCCCAGTGCCGCAATCCAGACTTCCTTCACATCGTTGGCCCTAATTGCAATGTTACTTAAGCGGGTTTGCGGACTCTCCCCCTTTTCAACATCTTTATTGGCCTCCAAAAGTGCTTCACGACACTTCGCCATCACTGCTTCCCACTTTTCTATTACGGAGAACCAGGCAGTCGCGGCATCTGCGTAATAAACTGCCATCTCCCGTGCAGCTGCTGACTGTGTTCTCACTGCTTCCGTTCGCCAGTACTCTGATCTCTCCCTGTCATTTCTCGATGTTTCTTCCGCTGTCTTTTTCTTTGTCCTTGCATCGCCTATACACTCATGCCATTTCTCCAACGTTTTCTCTACTTCCTGTATCAGCTTC